CAATATTCTCAGTTTTCCAATAAGGAGGTTATTTTTCTACCTGCCAGTCCTCAGACTTGCCCCAGGGCCTACAGCCGTGATAGCAGCAAATCTGCGGCCAGGACACCGTGTGTAATCTGCAGGCAGCACAGCTACGCTCAGATCTCTGCTGGCCGCAGTAATAAAGCCTCTGCACTGCAGTTAAACGTGTGTCCACCCTCGGTGATGTTTGCGTGCGCTCTGACAGCCCAGCTCTGGAGCTCGCTGCAGGGGGGGCAGGGAGATAGTTGATGCTGTAGCCCAGCTCCAAGCTCAGCTTCCTGGGGATGGAGGGAACAGGACGGATCATACTACATGCAAGCAGGCAGCCTGAGCTGGGCTTGAGCCCAGGCCACAGCTGGGCACGAGTGCTCCTGTTGCTCTTCACCTTGCCGTGCAGGTGAGGCCTGGAGCACGCTGGAGTTGCAGGTGAGATTTGAGAGGTGGTAGGCAACAGGATTAACCTCAGACGTGCCGGTTCCACCTTGCTTCCTCAGCACCTTTGGCACTCCGTTCTACCTGATGGAGCACTGTGCTGGCCGTGTCTACAGGGATGGCTCCCTCCCGGCCCTGCAGCCTCGCCAGCGGACGGCTGTTTATGCTGCCATGAGCCAAGTCCTCTCCAAGATCCACAGCGTAGACCTCAGAGCAGCCAAACTGCAGGACCTCAGGGAGCATGGTGAGAGGAGGCTTTGTATCCTCTGTCACTGTTTTCTTCTTCTGTGTATCAGCATTTCAAGGGATAGGCTGGGGGCAGGTGGGAAAGCAAAGATGAGCAGCAGGGTGTCTGCATCCCCAGGCGTGGTGGGAGGATGTGGAGAGCTGCTTCAGCTCCTCCAGGTCTGTGGTTAGTGTTGGTAACCCCCAGAGCTTCCTGCCATGAGCAAGAGCCACGCTGTGGGTGCAGGAAGAACCTGTTCGCTGCCACCTCTGACCAGACTTCCTCAGCTCCTCCAGTCTCTCTGCAGGGCTATCTCAGCTTCTCGGAGTTAAGTTTTTTTGTCCAGGATATGATTATTTTTACTAGATAATGAAATCTAGTGCCCAGTGAAGAATATATGAGACCCCTGGAAGCACAGCTAATCTCAGAGCTTATCTCGTGGTGCTGGACTGGCATCTGCTTGACTGACTTTTTCTGCCTGCACCTTTTATGCACTTTTTTGAAGCCTCTTTGTGCCTGTCCCTTTCCCTGAGAGCCTTTGTTCCCGTTTTTACAGGTAATTACATTCAGTGGCAAGTTGAGACCTGGACAAAGCAGTATCGAACTATGGAAACTCATATTATCCCAGCCATGGAGAGACTCATCGAGTGGCTGCCGCTGCATTTTCCTGAATCTCAGAAGACAACAGTTGTGCATGGTGATTTCAGGTACTGACAGCACTTCCCTGGAGCACGTCCCAGGCAGTGGAGAGGGGGAGAGGGCGTAAAGCAATATGCAGACTCCAAAGAGGTGCTGGTGCAGCAGCTTCAGAGCAGTCCAAAAGCTGGGCTCTGAGTCATGTTCCCCAGTTACTGAGACCTAGAAGGCCACAGAACCTTCACATCTGTCATGAGAAACATATTCCAAGAGCTCTGACTGGGGCTATCTTGCACCCAGAACTCTCGTATTTTCTCCAGTCTTCATCAGCCTGCTGATCTGTGGCAGTTTGGAAGCAGTGCCCACTCAAGCAGGGAAACCGGGGTCAGGAACTGAAAGCCTGGAATCCTGATGTTCAGTTCCGATCTTGCCTCATCAGTGTTTCAGAGTTTCTTCATGCAAACACTGGTCTAACACTGGAGGATCATCAACTGTTTCTGCAACACTCAGATATTAGTCCTGGAGCATGTTGCTCATGATATTTGCTGCTGAAAGAGTTTGAGTGGCTGGTGAGATGCTGCAGGATGTAGGGCAAAACTTGCCACTGTGATGGGTGAAGGCATGCAGGAGCGTGGTGGCTGGGGATGGGAGAGGGATGCTGAGAGCTGCTTCTGCCTTGTCAGACCCTGGCTGCCAGCAGATGTGAGGCTGCAGCGTAGGCGTGTGCCAATTCTGGGCCAGGGCTCCTTCCCACAAGGTTTAGCGCACACGGTTCCTGTGTGACTGGAAGCTGGTGAACTCTGCACCGCGGCAGGATGGCTGCCCTCCTTGTTTCCTCCTCAGCAGGCTGCTGCCCTCTCCTGGAGCCCAGACCGTTGAGGGCTGTGCTAGGCATAAGCTACAACACATGGCAGTGCAGGGCCTGGAGCTACTGTGTGCCTTTGAATGGCCAGAAGATCCCCCTGGCCAGTGACTTGCCTGCTTCGCGTTTTGGCTAGCCCATCCTGTAACGTCTGTTAATGATCTGAGGCCCTGAATGACTTGGTTTCGTTCTTCAAAGCACAGTTCAGTTCATCATTAACCAGGGAGTTCACATTGAGTAATCTCCTTCCTCCCTGACCTATGCTTGCAGAAATTAATCTTCCACTTGTGCAGCCTCCCAAAGGATTCAGCCATTTTTGAAGAGAGTGAACAGCATTGGAAAGCACCTACTGCTGCCAAGCACTGGGATTTTTTTTTCCCCCCTCTTAAGACTTTTCTGATCTCTTTTTCCCTCTGATACAGGATAGACAACCTGGTCTTTCATCCAGACAGGCCAGAAGTCCTTGCTGTCCTTGGCTGGAAGCTTTCAACTCTAGGAGATCCCATCTCTGATTTGGCGACTAACTGTATGGCCTACTTCCTGCCACCTCACTTTAATGCACTGAGAGGTACAGAGAGGGGCAAAGTCACGTTTGACACATGGAGAGAGGAACCAGAGTTCAGGAACAGATTAGATCCTGCCCAGAGAGCTCAGCTAACAGTTGGGCTCATTGCAGCTGGAAGGGGCTGTGGGAAAGACCATATTCCCTGCTCTGCCCTTCCTCCCTTCCCTGAAGAACCCTCCACCCCTCCAGGGTGGAAACATCTTTCTGCATGTGCAGCGATCACTGTGCCATGGTCGCCCCATCCCCAGTTTGTCTCGTGTCTGCCACCCGGCTGGCAGATGACTGCCACGCGCTCCCCATCCTGGTTGCTGCCATCACCCTGCTCATGCACACAGCTTTGTTGGCAGTCCTGTCAGGAATGACCCCAGAGAGGAGGGCCCTGCCTCGCAGCCTGCAAAACTGCATTTTAAAAATTAGTTTGGATTATTTTCCCTCTCACTTCAGCTGCAAAGCTGGGGAATTCTTCTGTGTGGGAAAGCTGTGGACCAGGCCAGCCCAGAAGGGGTTTGTCCACAAAGTTACACACTTGTTTTAAAGAACAATATAGGGGTAAACAGAGAGGGAAATCACTTCGTTGTTTAGGAGGAAGATCCATCAGTCACTGCTTCCACCACCTCACCCCAGTGAAGAAAACTGCCCCGTGTGCATGTCACCTACATGGGTCGGTGCCACAGCTCATGGTTACGTACAGAAACGGTGCAGCAACAGTGCAGGTGTTGGATGGGCTCAGGAGTCTGCTGCTCCACACCCGCATGGCTCTGCCGCAGGCCCCGCAGCATCCCTAGAAAGCTCAGAGCTCCTCACTGTCTGCTGCTTCACTGTTGCCTTTTCACGTCTCCCAGGCTTGAGGCAGTGCGATTTGAGGTGCCTGGGGGTCCCCACAGCCGATGAGTATTCCCAGATGTACTGTGGCCACATGGGAGTGGAGCGCCCCGAGAACTGGAATTTCTACATGGCCTTTGCCTTTTTCCGACTGGCTGCGACGCTGCAGGGACTCTACAAAGGCTCTCTGGCAGGTGAGGAACCCAAGCACAGCCCTGTTCTGCGCAGGTCTCCGGCCAGAGCGCAGACACGTGAGCATCAGTGTGGGGAGAGCGCTCACACTGAGCCGGGGTGGGCTCAGACCAGCGGCATGTGCTGCAGAGTCCGGGCCCTCCTGGCTGCGCACCCCGAGAGCTCTGAAATTCCAGGCGGTCATGCAAAATGTGTCACTTCTGGAAGTCTTGTGCTTTCAGCATAGAGCTCCTGTAGGAAATAAGGGATGAAAGTGAGAGATCCTGTTTCACTCTGGAGATGAGTGAGCTGGGAGTCATCGTGCAGCGAGTGATTGCTGCGTGTAGACAAGAGGGGTGCTGACAAGGTGGCCTGTAAAGCACAGAACTCACTCCCTGCTCTAGCACGAGCTCTGGAGGGTGTGAGGCTGCCGTGACCTCTCAGGCAGGCTGTGTTGTGCAGTCAGGTTGTGTCCTGCAAACAGAAAAAAGGGCCAACGGGGAACACAGGGCATTTCCCCAGCAGCTGCTTTTTGCTGGGTGCAGGGTCTGGTCTGTTCCTGTTTTGGTGTGTGTGCTGATGGGAAGCTGCTGGGTGATCACTTTTCTTTCATGGGGGAAGTGAGCAGAAGCCAGGGATGGGAGCTCAGAGCCGTGTCCTACAGGTGGAGCTCTCAGACCTTCGAACCAAGCACCACCTTGGTGGTGTGAACTCTCAGTGCTGTTATCTGCATACCTCAGGTCTGGCCTGGGAGCCTTTATCAGGGAAAAACAAGACGTTATTTTCATATTCCTTAGAGAGGGGTCTCCCTGAGTCCTGCTGGGCTGGCCCAGACAAGGTCACACGGCGGTTTGGGATGTGATTACTTAACACAGGCTCTTTCAAACACGGGTGTCCATCTTCTTGTCCCCAGAGAGGCCAACCCCAGGGGAAAACAGCCCGGAGGATGCGGAGTTTGTGGCCAACCTGGCTTGGGAGTTCGCCATAAAAGAAGGATTCCGTGTGTTTGACAGCCGCCCCACCACAAAGCCTCTCGCACGACGTTACAGCACCTGGGCCAGGCCAGGGCCGTTCCTCA